ATTTTTTGTTTACCTGATGGCAATAAATGCATTAAAATATATTCCATAAATTTTATTACAATCTCTTATTTAAACGGCCTTTTTACAGTTAAAATTCACGGTAACAGTTAAAATGTATACTTAAAATGTGTTTATGACGTGATTATACGTAGTCACTCGATATCGAGTCAGTGAATAAAATTGTGAGCAGATAATGGTTTCGATACTTTCAGAATACTCATATGAGTAGTATCGCAAGATGATTCGGTTACTACTCATCTGAGTAAGTATCGATACTTTCTCAGTATCGTATCGTCCCTAACCTTAGTTGCTCCCTTTACCAACAATGATCTGATTGGTTGGCACAATTCGAATATCTCAGCATCACTTTGACAGCCAATCCAGATTTTCTCTCAATACCTATTCCATGTGTTCACATTTTTGGAATATTCATACATCTGGTGGTTAAAATAAAGTGTCGATAAAGTGGTTAATCGTTACCCATAAGAAATGTTGTGGCCTTTTTTAGGTGTTACAATTCAAGCCCCGGGCCTGGTAAGGCTTTAATTCGCCACTAATTACATACAACTTAACTACAAACAAGTCCTAGCCAATTCAAGTCCTTGATCCATGTTATATTTTCTCGACATTACCGCCCTATAGAGTACTTACCCTACATACAGGGTGGTTTTTTAATCCGATAGAATCCCAAATTTCCGATGGTGTTGAACTTTCTAAAAATAGTTTCATATAAAAGTTGTTGACGCACAAAGTGCGCACATTTTAAAAATATCTCATATGATACAGAGTGTCTCAGAAAAGCGAAGCAAGATCAAAGAGTATTTTTTAAATAGAACTACCCATTTTTCATTAGCTCATAGAATGCAGCTTGAAACGCTGCATATGCACCGTAAATTGTTTTTTCTTACTTGCGACGTTGGCAGATTATCGCCATTTTAGAAAAATTTTGCTTAAAAACATGGTATCTAAAAATTAAATGCAGAAGAAAAAAAAGGCAGTTAAAGGTACAAAAAAATACGTCTTTCCAATCACCACAGATCCGTTAAGAATTCTATTAAACCGAAAAACAATACATTGTACAGGGTGTTAACAATGTGAACTTCAATCTAAAACATTTTAACGCATTATAAATTTTGTTTTTCAAATTAAAGTTCCTGTATATTAATACGTCATTAGCTAGACGATTTACAAAGTTACAAATTTGCATTTACACTTTATGTTGAAATCAGCCGTTTTCAAATTATAATTTATTTTACTTAAAAATTTCAAAAAGTTGCTACATTTTGTAAGGTGGCTATGGAAATCAATAAATAAGTGTCAAAAGTTGAATTGCCACGTTTAATTGATCATTTACCTAATTATATCAAGGAAAGAGTGTGGTATTTACATGATGGAGCTCAAATTCATGAGTACCTAAATAATTAATTTCCTGGGAGGTGGATAGGCAGGGGTGGGGCTGTTCAGTGGACACCTTGTTCACCCGATTTGACAAAAATTGATTTCCTTTTATGGGCTTACGTCAAAAACGAAATTTATGAAATAACTCCAACTACAAAAGATGACATGAAGGAACGAATCACAACTGTTTTTCGAATCATTAATAATAGAGAGTTTTTAGTCCCCTTAAAATTACGTTGGCCTTAAACGCTAAACGTTATTGTGATCATGCGCAGTGTTAAAAAAATAAGGTGTTCAGGCAAATAACGTTAAGTGCGTTTTTTAGTTTTTGATACCGCGTTTGTTGCACTCTTAATAAAATAAACCTCACTTTATTGTTTTGGTATCCCGTTTTGTTTGGACAAGTTTCAAAGCTAGTTTAAATTTGTATTGGTATTAAACCAAAAGTGGCTAAGATGGAAGAAAACATTGAAGCTGCCTTTCTGCACCGAAATGATCAGGGAGATGTGGATCACGATTTAATAAGAGGCTTAATTTTACACGACATCTTTGACCCACCTGTTGTTGCAAACCGAAGAGCTATTTTTAATTTTGAAAATATTGAGCTCGGAGAAAGCCTTATACATTTTAGGT